TTAAGTCTGTAAAAAAGAAGTTTTTGAGGAAGAAGAAGAAGTAGTTTTTTTTTTTTTTTTTAGACTTTAGAAACTCAGAAACTGATCAAATATTGGGTTAAATATCGGTGGGGTGGCCGATGTCCGATATTCAGTTTTACGGCCGATACAGTCCGATACCGATAGGGGGGCGATTATATCGTGCATCCCTAGACTTAATGATAATTTTCTCTTTACCCCATATAACACAAAATCTAGTTCTGGAAAGAGCATCAATTCTGTACTTATCATCTTTGATGTTAGTATATTGATGTTTATAATTAATTACAAAAAAATTGAATGTTTTGAATATTCCACTGCTGCCACCATCTGTACTAGAGGGAAATAAATGGTAGGGGTGGCCACAGGGTTGGCCAGTGATTGCCTAAGGGTTGCCCTGGCCCCCCATCTAGCTCCGGCCCTGCACTAAGTTAGATGTTGTAGGAAAACATTTTGGAAAAGTTTAACAAAAAAGTTGTAATCCTGAGTCGTAAAATTTGTTTAAAGGGAGAATAACAGAAAACTTTAAATCTAGCTCTGTCTCTTAACAGCTTCATGTTTTAACACCTTTTTCTGTCTGGATGACATAAACATTTTCTGTCTGCTTCTGTGCTCCATGTGTCACAGCAGTCCAGAATCTCATTTATTAGAGCTATACCTACCACTAACCCTCATCATCTTTACGCTGGAACTCAGTACAGAGGAAATATTTAACAAACATGATCATGTTTCCACTGTTTCTGTAACTCAAACATCTGTGTGTTAATGTGGATAGATGCACTGAATATCAATCCTGCAGAACAGGGAGTAGAAAAATGTAACACCAAATCCCCAAACATACAGCAACATGTTCATAAATACTTTAAGCATATTGATGACTATTCTGACATCATAGTGTATAAAATTGTTCATGCTTTCATCAATAGCGCTTCGCTAGTTTGATAATTCACAGTACACAAAACTGAGAATAACTGTTAGGTAGCTGATTGATTAATTGATTTATTTTTCTATTTAATTAATTGGTTATTAATCAGAAGCCAAAAGGTACTTTGTATTGGATATTTTATAGATTTTGAAAAGGTGAAGCTTAAAGACTTTAGGAGTTCTCAAAGGTTTTTCATCCTAAATGTAAAATCCACAGATATTAGGAAACAGTTTAACTGGAGTTTAACTGAACCGGTTTTGCACCAAACCAACACTATTGTTGAGTGAAGACAGAGAGGCTATGCAGTGAATCTTGTTCCAATTATAGTTTGAAAAATTTCTCAAATCAAATCTTTTTAAACTTTGTTTTTGCAAACTTTAACTACGGAAGCCGAGATCGGTCATACTCAACTTTTTCTTTTTCCCTTTGCCTTCTCGAGATAATGACATAACTATCTCATTATCATGAGAAAACAGTTTCTTGATTTCTTGAGATCATGAGATCTTTAACCTGTATAAGTAATGAATGAGGCTGGCCAACAGCCCTGGATTCTCAGTCCATCCATGCCTGCGGGGCCTGTAGTTGTGCAGTCGCGCAAATAATCATCACCTATTTCTTTTCACTCATTGTCAGGTCGTGGTGGATGATTGGATTGCATGGAATACAGTAGAAACAAATCTGACTGTTTTTCAATGAAAATCTTTAATCAGGACTCATTTCGAGGTTAATGCATCTTATACCTGTTACAGGCGTAACAACGGGGCTGTTCAGCAAACACCCAGCGGAAAGTCACTGAATCAGAAGTGGAAGCAAATCATCAAACCAACAACATCGTATTGTTACCTAAAAGTTAAACACAGGATTATTTACAGAATTATACATAGGCTGCCATGACTTAGAGGTCCTCTTTCGCTGTTGTGGTATTGAAGGATGTAATCAGTTTTAACACACACCAATCATCTCGTTATCACAACAAAATAACTTTAGTTATCTTTAGATAATGAGAAAATGAACAAGTTTTCTTGAGAAAACCACCATGAAAAAGTATCTGAAGGACTAGACCGCTCTCAGCTTTCGTAGCTTAACAGATGTTATATCCTCAAATTTGTTTTTCTCAGGTTGAGTTTTACCAGTTGCATTTTTTCAAACTGTTTCACAAATCACATTCCCTTCACTGCAAGCTCAATAAAAACACTAGTTGATGTCACACACTTCAAATTTACAGGATTACAGTGTTGAGTGCTTTTATTTGTTTGTTGAAAATGGTGTCTCTTTAAGGACCCTATTTTCCAGGCCTACTAGCCCATCTGATTGCTCCCATCCCACCGAGCAACAAAAGACATTAAAAAGATGACATGATTTACGTCCAACATTTGGTTAAAAAAAACGAAAAGCCTTTATTTTTGCATTGTTGAAAACCCAGTTTTCAATGTCTATGATTAGACTAAAGTGGGACAAAATCATCCAGACCAAAAAGCCCAATTTTCAACAACTATTACTCGATTAAATCAAGACCATGTTTGACCGACCAGATTTAGCGTAAAAAACTACTTCTATATGATGTGTGGTGTTTGGGGGAATTACCTAACTTTACAAACCAAGACCCAGAGGCCCTTATAAAACTAGAGTTACACCCTAAAGTTCCATTCCCATCAAATGATGCCATGTCAGGAGGGCATGGGTAGGTTTTTTTTTAGGAAAGTTTGCTTCATTGAGAATAGAATTCAACTTTATTGTCATTACACTGTCACAAGCACAGAGCAATGAACTGAATTCTCTGCATTTAACCAATCCACTTGGTGAGCAGTGGGCTACCAGTGTACGGCACCCAGGGAGCAATCGAGGGTTATGGTAACTCTAGGTCAGGAACCCAGATGGGCAGTCCGTGGGAGTGGGGCTTGAACTCAGAACCTCTGGGATCCAAGCGCAATGCCCCAACCACTAGGCCGACACTCCCCCTTTGTTGGTATTCATACAGTGGCGGTTCTAGACCAAATGTAACCGGGGGCCAGGACAGGGCCATCATGTTTTCATGATGGTACAGGAAAGCATGAAGCAAAAAAACAGGGCAAGGGATTCAAATATATTAAGATAGCCGCATGAAGTGAAATTTCCATTCAATTAGGTTTAATTAAATTTATTTGTCTTCAAACTGAAAATATTTACTTTTGGCTTGAAAATATTCATTTAAATTATAATTTAAATTAAAAATAAAAATCCCTTTGCATAGCAAGAAAGCAACTTAAAAAATTGTTGCTATATAAATATCTAAAAGATCAAAAGCTATTATTTGGAATATTAGGTCAATATGCATCCATAATTTTACATATTCTTAACTTAATTTAGGTTAAAATTATAGTTTTCTATAAATTCAGAATTAGAACTCAAGAAAAACTGATAAATTCAGCTGTTAAAAAAAAGGGGAAAAAAGGAAATAGATCGAAAGGACCTATCAGAAACCATGTCTGTTTCAGCGCTTATCATCATTAGAATTTCTTTGAGTATTATGTCTTCGGTACAGGCGCCATAACAGGGGCCAGGACATGATCTACAGGGGCACTGGCCCCCGCTGGCCCCTGTCTAGAACCGCCCATATTTTCATACATTTCAAAAACACAACTTTTACTCGTGTTCTCTTGTCATTCATCTCATCTCAAAACAGCTCTAACAGTGAACACTTCCCTATTAGAATCCCCTCCTCACTCCCTCCATCAGGAAAATGGTTGAAGAACCTCAGAAACAGCAACCTTCTCAGCGTTATGATGGCAACCGTCTCCCTTATTAAACACTAAAAATCCAACAAACTGCCAGATCTGCACTTTATGTAAATACTAAATAATGTAACAAGTTGACCAAAAAAAAAAAAAGTAAGCAAGTAAGTACTGTTTATTTCTATAGCTCATTTTACAAACATAGAGGTCACAAAGTGCTTCACAAAATTAAAATACAAATAAAATACATTTAGTCACAAAAGACGTGGTCATAAAACAACCCTTAATCTGCTGGAATTAAAATGCTTAAACAAATAGGTTTTCCGTTCACTCTTAAAAACATCAACAGAATCAAGTAAACGCGAGGAAAGGAGAAGATCGTTCCAGAGCGCCGGCGCGACGTCCTGAAAGGAGCGATCTCCCCTGGTCCTGTAACGAGTACGAGGGACCATGAGCAGGTTCTGCTCCTGAGAGCTCAGCCTCCGAGAGGGGGGTATAAGGACACAACAAGTCTGTAAGGTAGGAGGGAGACTCACCGTGAAAGGCTCCCTCCTACATTAGAAACATTCGAAAAATAAAACTCACGGTCTTGGTTCTGTTAAGTTTTTTTTGAGTTTGTCATTTTCACGTTGATCCATGTTTTTCTTTCTTTCTAGTTTTATTGGTTTAATTCCTATTTTGTTTTTTGGATGTATTTGAGTTCTTGGGTTTTTCTTGGTTGCCCTCTTGTGTTGGTCTCCTTTTCCCTAGCTCCCTTCTAAACTCCTCTGTTCACAGCTGCTCCCAATCAGCTCATTAGTCCTGTCTTTGTCCAGTCTCCTATATATACTCTCCCTGTGCAGTTCCTCAGTGCTGGTTCCTCATCTTTTCCTGGCTCCTCATGTTTGTTTTCCCTGATGCCTCCAAGGTTCTGGTTTTTCTGTATGTTGGATTTTTGGATTCCTGCTTCAGTTGCCTGTGAGTTCCTAATTAAATCTTCAAGAACTCACCTCTGCCTCCTCACCTCTGCATTTGGGTCCTCCAAACCTCAACCCCACCCTGACAAAAACGTCTTGTCTTTATGGTGTGGCCTTGTGACCTCGTCTGATGGAGATGGATGCCCGCCCCTCTGACCCTGACAGAGAAGCAGGTACAGAAGATGGACTCCTCCTCTTGTCGAACTCTTCGGATCTGAAGATGAAACACTCCGGGTTGTTTTTAAAGGACTTCGCTAGTGACTGAGGGAGGAAGCCGCGCCGTTTTAGCTGCAGATCCTGGACTCCACCAGAACTGCAAAGTTAAAAACTCCTCTTTTAACTCCAGTATTCTTCATCAGTCGCTGTCGTTAGCATTTATTTATTTTTGCTGTGTGCTCACCGCATTTATTACGATGATTTCTTTATATTTTCTTATTCACCGGCTCTGTACTTGGGCTGCCTGATGGCGCGTTTAAGCGCCTCCCAGATAAAAGTTTCGATGGATTGATTGAAGGCGGCGGGGCTGTGAGGAGCAGCCTTTCTGTTGGTGGCGCTTTGAAGAGGCCTGGATTGTGTCTGCGGCTGCATGCAGCAGAGGTGCACGTCCATATGGGGTCTGTGTTTCCTCTTTCAAGCAAGGGAATGAAGAAGCGAGGGAAAGAAAGAGGGAGAGAGCCTCATTTATATTCAGCACGGATCTACTTTCACCTGCCAGAGCAACAGCAACCCCCCACCCACTCTACCCTCAACAGATGGCCACCCGTCAGCTCCCAGCAGACACACACACTCTCATTCTCTCCCTCAATCAAGTACACACACACACTGGCACAAAATAAGCTTCCCCACACTTAGTGAGATGAGCAGGGATCCTTGGTGTAAAATGGAGTGGATGAAACATATGATTAGAAATAGGGAGGGAAGTCATTAGTACAAAGCAGCGCTCCAGTGTCACGTTATTTATCCAGCACTGAGCATACATCAATTACCCATGCATGGATATGCTTAAATATTAATCTCCTCATTCGTCCTCGTTCTCTTTCCTCCTTTCCCTCTCCCCATCCGCCATCAGGACCAGTGGCTGGCCCGCAGCCCCATGCTGCAGAGGCGCGTGTACCACGTCATGGCGGCCGTGAGGAGGCGGCTCTACGTGCTCGGCGGGAACGACCTGGATTACAACAACGACCGCATCCTGGTCCGTCACATCGACTCCTACGACATGGACCTGGACCAGTGGACGCGCTGCTCCTTCAGCCTGCTCACAGGTGGGCGGGGATAATTACAGAGGCGACGGTAAACAAACCATCAAACGTTCCTCTGTCTGCAAACAGAAACAGTTTGAGCAGCATTAAGGTCTGACTGAGTTCAGTGAGGCTGAGAACGAGGGTCGCCGATCCAGTAAACGGCTTCGAGGTCACAGCACAAGGTCAGAGGAAACAGCTCTGGAACAATCAGATTGGTGTTAAAGAGCTTCACATGTCTGCAGGTTGAATGTAGCAGAAACACTAAAAAACACCCACAGCACCTTCCCTTTGCTCCACTCATCTGACAAAATGCTCTGAAATCATATTAAATCTCTGGTTTGGTCTTTTGTTTTGCCTTTTTTGGCCTTAAACGCTTCAGATAATCAAATAAAGTGCGATAAAGATGATCTGAACTAATACAAAATCTGTTTTAAAGTTAGGTGATTTTTCTGACAGGAAATAAAAAGCTCTCAGATCGAGTTCAGCCTTACGATGAAAGAAAAAGAAAAGAGACGTAATTACTTTCAAAACCAGATAACTAGATATGAAAAGAATCAGTTTCTCTATCAGCTGCAGCAAGTTGAAGAAGTCCTTATTGCCAGAGTCCATGTTTGACTGATATTACTTCTATATTTCAGTCTGAGGTTTAAGATTTAATAAATCACATGTATTTAGATTCAAGACATGCTTATTAAATGTAAGATTTAGACATACATATAAGATTTATCAACATTCCATAGAAAATAATTTTTCTTTTTGTGAATAACTTTTCTTTTTTTATTTTAAAACCAAAAGTTAGACCATTTCCAACATTTTCTTGTGCAGATCTCAGCTAAAAGGTAGGAAATACTCTGTGTTAATCCAAACAGTGATTTATTGTCATAATGTTACTCAGGGTTTACGACTTCTTAGCTTTCAGAAACAGAAAAGCCAGGAACTGCAGGGATTTACTCCACAGGTCCGTTTCACAAAGCAGGCTTTCTAAACCTGAAATATGGGACTTTTCTGTTTCACGAAACGTTTCCTCAAGCTCTGTTTCAGTCACCATAGTAACATTCTCCTCAGAGCTAACCTGGTCAGGAGCAGGACAGTGTCCTCTGCCTCCGTTCTCCTTACAGCCAATCACGCTGTTTAATTTCCTGATTTAGTCAGATTTTTGTTGTACTTTTGTCTGTAAAATAAATAAATAAATAAATAAATCATTAACTAGGTCCGTTACGTGCATTACATTTTAAAAACAAACATTGCATGTCCCTTTGACGATGATCTTATCAAATTAATTTACTGATAATTTAAGATTTATAGGGAGATTTATGCATCTTTGCTTTGTTTAAAGGGGAAGTCCATTCATCAAGGAATAATCAATGGATCATTATTTATACATAAAACTAATACGTTCTCAGAATTTAGCGTTAATCAGTAAAAAAATGAAAACAATCATTTTTGTCGCAATCACGAAGCATGGGACGTTACGGTGGGGTAAGCCTAGCGCCATTCTCCCCGCTTTACAAGCAAAATCAATGGGAACTACTAGACACATCTGCAACAATTATTGAAGATTTCAGAGGACTTCAGCGTTGAAATTCACCAGAGCTATTGTGAAACTGACAATGCCCAGGTGCATGGCATTTGGATGTTGGAATACATCGGGTAAAAGTCAAGGAAAAAAAGAGTTATTTCATCTTTCCGATTCCTGATCCTCCACGGACGGGTTCGTCGTTGGATTGCCAACTTAAAGAGGGAGGATTTGCCATCGAACTTCTGGCCAGAGGAAAACAAACACATAATATGTAGCCAACATTTGGAAGAATAATGTTTTCAAGATGACTTGGATAATAGCGCGTTGTGACAAACACCAGATACAGCACTGGGACTTGATCAACAGCCGATACCGCACCGTGACGTCACAATCCAGTAGGTGGCAGTAGAGTTCTTTGACAAACATGGATGCCTCCAGTAAAACACATTCAAATGAAAATTACACTTATCATTTATTGAACCCTATGTAACAATTCTATAATTCAAAGTACTTTCAGAAATTTGAATTCTGAATACGCACGGACTTTTCCTTTAATATGAGTGACATGCAGATTATTATTATTTATTTACTTTTACAGTACATGACGAACTAATGAAATCAGTTTCAGATTTCGCATAAATAGATTCATTTATTCTGCGGGAGGAAAGGAATTACTTTAGGATTAGGATTCACTCGATAACAACCTAATAAGCCTACTGGCACAATCTGAAGGCATTCTATGGGAATGATAGCTGCTAATAACCACCATTTATTGGTATGATAACATCTGAAGCAGCTGCAAACAGTCAATTAGTATATACTGTGAAAAAAAAGACAGAATCAAACCACCCCAAAGTATCAAAGTACCCCATGAAAAAATGAGGTTCCATCAATATGAATGTTTTAGACTTAATTTTCACCTGAAGATATCACCTAAACAGATACATTGATCTACTAACATTCAAGACATAATCCCGTAAGATTATCGAGGTCAGAAGAGACTGTGGCAAGACATGTTGATATGTATTAGTTTCACTGAATATGTATTCCTGATATCTGAAAAAGAAAAACATTTTGTCTTTATCTAAATTAACATTTCAAACAAAATGACATTCTTCAGAATAAACATTCTGGATGTCTAGAAATTAATTTCAATATTGGACAAAAAAATCAATATTCATTTAATATTACTTCAACGCTATTCCTGACATTTTGAATAGAAAGTTTCCTGGATGGGAAGTGAAACGTCTTCTAACTAGAAACAAAGTCCAGTGGATTGTTTTATTTATTTATTTTTTTACTTTTTTTGGAATGACTATGACCTGGATGACTGAGAATCCTCACCAGCACACCATAAAGAATCTTATTTTAGTGATCTCCAAATGGAACAACAGAGAGGAGAGTGCTTTTATTAAATGTAAAAACGGTCTGCCATAGACACTTCATATAAACATAAGCATTAACTCGAGCAACAATCTTCACCTTCGCCATCTTCCTCTCCTTTGCAGCTGTAGCGCCGTTTCTCTTTCTTTTAAACAAATTCTCCTTTTTTATATTATTTGTGCATTAAAATCTCCATTTCCAATGGGGTGAAATAGGCACTTCCTGTTACCATGGTGACTCGTCGAATCGATGCTCCACTTATAAAGGCTTTTCATACTTGTTGCACACGTGTTAAACTGAGTGGTTCTGCTTGGAGTTGATTAAACTAATTCATTGAAGCTGCTGTGAAACACTCAGAAATCCCAACTTTAGGCTAGATTAATTTAGATTTGCGGATTCAAATCTGAGTTTCCTAAACCTGCTTTGCGAAACGGAACCCAGAACTTACTCTGGATTGCAGCTATCCCTGCTCAAAGAAATGGTGCCCAGTGTCTTTTATAATAAACAGTAACCTTATCTGATAAATTTGATGTCTTCATGGTTTATGGCTTTTCTTTCTGGCAGTCTCTTGTTTTGTAGAAATATTTGAGTTAAGCCGGTTCCTGCTTGGAAACTTCTCCGTCTCTCATTTTGGATAAAATGGTTCCCTGATGTCTTTCAGTGCTTTAAAGATCGTTGTTTTTATCTGATGAGTTCCATTGATTCTGTCTATCCCCTGTTCTTTACAATCGTTAAATCATTATATCGCTGTTTGAGAACTTCCAGCCTACTTCCTGTTGGCAGACAGGTTCTGTTTTAATGGGTCATTGTTTAATGAGGCTTTTTCATTTGTGTAAAAGAGAAGGTTGGATTGGAGAAGCTTTTGCTTTTTTTCCAGGCAATTTACCTTAAATATAAAAAAAATTGTAATGATCTTAACCAAATCAGTAGAGTTACAACATTTAATGGGCACTTTTTTTTTTTTTTTTTAAATCTGTACATTCTAGTTCCTTAAAAAAAAAGATTTAGGTCAGAGGAAGTTATCGTCTCAGTTTGAGTTTCTTCTCCTCTCTGCCCTCTTTTTGCTCTTGGGGAAGAAGCTGCAGCAATCTTGAGAACTTTCATCTCTGTCATCCTCAGGTCAAAATGAGTCTGGAGTAGCCGTCCATGATGACAGGATTTATGTGGTGGGAGGATACTCCATTTGGACCAACGAGCCTTTGGCATGCATTCAGGTGGGAGCTGTGACACTTACGAGTTTTTCTACAGTCGGCTCATCACAGGCAAAATCCCGTTATCTAGAGTTAATCCTGGATTCAACGACAAGCCGTAGAGCAGAGAGAAGTTATTTTTATCAGGCTTTAAAGTTGAACTGTGGTTTAAAGGAAAATAATACTGATGTAAAGAGCTGCTCTGATTTTATTTTAAAAGAAAAATATCTCTTAAATTAATCAACTTGATTACAAAATCGTAAATCTCAAGTAAAGAGGAAAGAAATGTTCTGGATTTAAGTTTGGGTTTGAAATCAAACATGTTAAAACAGGGCAGGTGATGGACCCAATCACTGCAGGAGGGAAACATGCTACTAGCCTGCAGAAGGTTGGATCTGTTACAACTGGTTAAAATCAGTTAAAAACAAAATCACTGGATGTTAACGTTTTTTTGTCATCACTAGAACCGTTTAAGGTACTTCTACTGGAACGCTGCTCCAGCAGCCTCCACTGTGGACCAGAAGCGTAAGGATTCTAGCAGATTCTATAGCAAAATCTATTGTCAAATCAAAAAAAAAATTAAATTATCTAAATATTATCTGCTAAACTAGAAGCTTCGTTCACACTGCAGGTCTTCCAATGTTTAGTTCCACTTATGGAAGTGGAACACATTATTAAGGAGGTGAAAAGATCCGAATTGAACCGTTCTGACTGCCATGAAAGTCAGATATGACTTTCTAATTCGGGTCACATTTTCCTACAGTATGAACATAACCTGAGACTCCTACATTTTCTGGGGAGTCGCTCAGCTGCACTCTATGGTGCATTCAGGTACACTCGATAATCTAAACACCTGAACAACTCTGGAGTGGTTTCAATCCAATAATGAAACATCTGCAGTGTAAAACAACTAAAAAACACTTTTATTTAATTGTTGGGAAATCCATTCATTAGTTATAGTTAAAAAATGTTGTTTTTTTTTATGCAAAATTTACACAAAAACAAAAATTTGGATCTTTGTGTGCAAAAAGAAAAATAGCCACTTTTATTTCTCTTTTTCTATCCCAATGAAATGCTATCAAATTTGTGGTAATAAAATAATAAAAAAGACATTAAATATGCTTCATGCTGCCATATAAAGAAGTGATATTTAAAGTAGGGCTGCAACCAATGATTATTTTGGAAATCGATTCATCTGTTGATTATTTTTGCGATTAATTGATTAATAATCGGATAGCCAAAGGTTCTTTAAAGAAGACTATTTTTGTGAAATTAAACCCGGTGAAACTCAAACTTTTCCACTGTAGTTCTGGATAGAATATATTGACATTCTTTTTCCTAAAGGAATAGTACACCCAAAACATGATTAGCCTTCATTTTCTACTCACCCCCATGCTGAACA